AGCAGCCCTGGCCACTGGATAGGGGCAGGTGGCAGCATCTGCTGTGCCTGTGACTAGAGCCAGCGTCTAGTCTGGATAACTCTCTCCTGAAGGCTAATGCCTGGTCTTTTCAAGACTACCTAGCATTTCCACAGCAAAAAAGGCAAGCTGCAAACATTTCAGCCTGTGCCACTGTGGGCAGAGGTGAGCTGCCCGCACTGTAGACCAAGTACTTCTGTATACTTTTTGTAGCCTAGCTGGGATTTCAAGTCTCCGCGGAGGGGGCGGGGCAGTGTGCAGGGACCGTGACTCAGGCTCTCAGGGTAGTGTGGGGACCCCCGAAGCTGGCTCAGCTCATTCTCTTAAATACTGTGAACAGAATTACACTGTAGAGGGAGTGGGATACTGGAACCGGGGTCCAGGGAGCGGCCCCTGCCACCAGCTTAGAGAAGTGCCTTTCTACGGTGCCGCGTAATTAAGTAATTAAGTTTATTTCCTCTGAAAGAAAGACAAGCAATCATCCCTGCAAATTCTGGGCTTTGGGAAGTCTCCCAGCCTCACACAGAGCTCCGCCCCACCCCTAGGAACTAAGAGGCCGATCGTGCACCTAGGATCCAGGAATCATCAGCCTGCTCGGGCCAGGGAGGATGAAGGCGCTGTCCACCCCACCCTGTCCTACCCCGCGGCGCGCGATGGAGCAGACGCCTTTGATGTCCTGGGTGGAAACACTCAGAGCCGAAAGCGTGGAGCACCACCCTAGGGCGGGAGCGCCCTCAAGATCCAGGCCTGGGTCGCCTCTGCGCCTCTGCCACAGACCGACCGGGTGGACGTGAGCCCGCGCTGGCTCTGGGCCGCCTGCTCCTTCGCAGCGCTGCGGAGCTGCCAGCCAGCTTCTGCACGCGGAATTGGCTCTGCAGAGTCCGACAGCCCTTGGTCCTGTGGCTGGTGTGGGGCGAGGGTTCGTGGCACCTATGGAAAAGGCGCTCCCTTAAGCTGGCGGCGATTCCACTCCCTGGACCTCGGTTCCTGAATCCCACTCCCTCACGGTGTTTAAGTGGGTTTCCTAAGCCAGCGCCCCGGGGGTCCCCACACCACTCTGGGAGCCTGAGTCAAGGTCCCTGCCTGCACGCTGGGGCCCTGCAGCTAGGCGACAGAAAACACTTCACTTCTTCAATGGGAGCATCTCACCAACGCCCACAAGTGGCACAGGCTGGAATTTTCGCAGCTTGTCTTTTCTCTGCAACCGTGTTTCGACCTGAAAACAGCATAAAAGATGAAAAAAAAAATGACTGCGGGATGGCTATGAACCCCCACCCCATCTTCTCAGCTATGAGGAGAAAAGATGCGGGTAAAAGAACCCTCATTCCACCCCAGGGGAAACTGAGGCCTCCTAAGGCCCCAGGCTGGCCCCCAAGCGCTGGCCCTCCGAGGAGTGATCTGGGTTGTGGAACCGCACTGAGAGGTTTTGCTGCTTGTTGGTTGGCTCCTTTGTTTTGTGGCGGTGCTCTGCAGGCTCTCTGGAGCCATATGACCCAAGGAGCCTGGCAGACCCCTTAAATAACCTGGCAAGGGCGGCGGTGCCGCTCTGCGATGTACAAGCATCTTCTGTTGCTGCTGAATCAATCCGAAGGGCTAAAAGAAGCAACCAGGAGGGAGACACGGAGAACTCTGGAGAAGACAGAGAGGCCACCCCCTTAGGATAGGCCTGTACCCTCTCGATTCAAGGTCCTTGCCTACTTCCCAAGACCTGGGCGGGGTCCTCCTCCAGCTCTAACCCACAAGAACTCTAGGCAACTCTAGGCAGAGACAAGGAATATGAAGGAATTTCCCATGATCCTTGGATTTCCTTTACAACCCCTCAGTAACTCACTCTCTCTCTCTCTCTCTCTCTCTCTCTCTCTCTCTCTCTCTCTCTCTCTCTCTCCAGCCATTGACGGAGTAGTATCCCCAAGGGAACACTTGTGATTGAACACTGGAAGGAAATAAAGGGGCTCATGCTCAGCTACTAACACCCCCCAACACCCCACCCATCCCAACACCCCACCCCACCCCCAACACCCCACCCACCCCGCGCCAATGGACTGGGAGAATGATTTTCAAGTCACTAGAATTCATCAACCCCTAGCATTCAATAGATTACCAGTGTGGAATCTGTGGTCCCACCTCAAGAAGAGAGGACTGGGCCATTACCAATCTACCCCTGCTCAAAAACAAAACAACAACAACAAAAACTGGGAAGAAAGGGGGAAAGCAAGAAGGAAATTTTTACACATTGCTTTAATCCAAAAGGGTAAAAGCATGACCTTTGTATTAATCAAATAACTGGTCAGAATCTTGCATCATAGATGGAATCCTCAACCTACAGGATGTAGAAGAACATTATCTGAATAAAATTGTATGGGACCAGTCTCAGGAATCTTTTGTTCATCGAATATGGCAGTCCTGACCTTGAGAACTGGAATGAATCCCAGAAGGCCAAAGCACCACCCTGAGCATCGGTGTAAGAAAGTGGAGACAGAATTCTAGAAGAATGAGGCATGCTGGGTCAGAAGCCCTGAGACCTGGAGGCTTCTAGCCATAGGCAGAGGAGCTCAAGGGGAGTCAGGAAGTGGTAGGACAATCATCAAAGAATCAGACAAATCACAAGAACGAGGCTCTTTTAGTACAGGGCAAAATAGTCCATCTGCTACTCACATTTTGGAAGTCAGGAAGATAGTAATTGTGGATTTATTAAGACCCAAATCCCTGGGTGGGAATTCAAGTTAAATACCATACACTTCACAGCATAGGAAAGGAAAACAAAACAAAACAAATCAGAGAAATAGCAGCTTCCAATAGTGGAGCCAGTTCCAGGCACAAATTCTTAGTTCTAACATCGTTATATATAGTGACCTTTTTATTTTTTTACACTCAGTGTGTGTGTGTGTTGCACTAGCCCTGACGCAGGCTTGTGTGCGAGCGCGCGCACATACACACACCCTTTTGTGGAGGACTTCATCTGGGTGTCTTTCTCAGATCCTCAGACTTTGTGAAGAGTCCCTGGCTCGCCTCTTAACAGTCTTTCAGATACTTACCAGACATCTACAGTCACAAGAATATATAGAATCACGCTGAGATAATGGCTCAGAATTTAAAATACAAATTTTCGAATCTTGGGACTTACGGAGAACCATTAGTTTAAAGTTTGCTTTGGGGAAAAGAAACAGGATTTTCCCAGCCTCTTTAGAAGGAAACTGCAGGGAGGGAGGGGAAGTGGGAAGCCCCTCTGTGTTCACTGGCACACTCTTGCTGGGGGGGGTCTTCAAGCAACACCGGGTCAACTAAGGGAGAGGGGATCTGGGCTCTCGGACTCTGTGTTCACTGAAGAATAGTAAGACCAGAAGGCCGGGCCACCCACGTTAGGCTTCAACCCTGCAGCAGAGTTTCTCTTCCCAAACGGGCGCCTTCTTCTGGGCTCCGCACCCAAAGTTCCCACTCCTAGGAGAGATCCGACCTAGCTGGTGCGCCTGGCTTCAAGGTCAGAATCTGAAGACTTAGATTCCTGCGATGCGAACGGAACAAGTCCCAAAAGTGGCCAGAAGGCGAAGCAGCCGGCGGGGCTGCACTGCTGGGAGGCTCGCTGTAGCTCTAGCTCGGATCCTGCTAGAGAACGGCAGAAATCGGACCCCTGGGGACCCTCTTACCCTCCCCAGCTGAGCTGTGAACTGACGGCTGCCTCCACCGAAGCTTTAGGCCTCTAGAGCTGCTGGCCCACTCTGGCCCTGGCGTGGAGGGGAGCAAAGCCGCCCGCTAGAGTCGGGAACCAAGTCTGCCCAGGCAACACTCTCCAGCATATAGAGAAGGGTCCCAAGCCGCCCAAAGACGGGTGGTGCGGTGGGGAGACTTTTCTAAACACCTCTAGAGATACAAAACCTCCGGACAGTCTAGGAACCCGGATCCAAAAGGGTGAAGTGACTACCTGGGGCACATTCTAAAATCGACCCTGGCTGCAGGGGGCTTCTAAGGGCGGCGAAATTGCTGCGGTCTGAGTAAGAACTGGACCGAAGAGTGGGCCGGCGGGTAGCCCAGACCTGGGTTAGGAAAACACCCCAAGAACTTCCTATTTCCTCCCCGCAATAAATAAACGCGCCCCACCCTCGTCCAGGTCTTACCCTCTCTGGACGAGAAAACTCAGTGAGCCCGTCTTTCCACCTGAGACTCCCAGCCGAAATCGGGGAGTGATGAGCCGAACACCAAGATCTCCTGGACTCCCAGGACTTGAGACTCCCGCTTGGCGCGCAGTGAGGGCCGGCCCCCGGACCTCCAGGCGCCCTCCCCGCTCTGACGTGTGTGGGGCTCCCGCTGAGCCGCCGCCGCTACCTGGGGAGGTGTGCAGTCGGGGGCGGGGGGCCGCCGGGGGCGGGCAGGTAACCGGTTACGCCCCGTGTTCGCCGGCGCCTTTAAGGAGGAGAAGCGGGCGGAGGGAGGAGCTGGCCCAGGTGCGCGCAGGAGAGCGGCTCGCCGGCGGTCCTCCGGGCTGGAGTCCAGCGCTGCTAAGCGGAGCCGTCGCCCGCCCGCCGCCTGGCCCGGCCCGCTCGCCTGCCTCGCCGCTGGCCTCGCCACTCCGCCTCGGACTTGGGCTGCGCCTTCGCCGCAGGGGTGCGGCATGGGCGGCCCCGGCAGAGGTGTCCGGCGCCCCCACTGACTGCCCAGCCCCGGGACCCCAGCCCGCAGCCTCCTCTACGCGCACCGCCTCGACGGTCGTCCTCGGACCCGAAGGGATCCCCAAACAGCCGCGTCGGCCTCGGAGCCCCGTCCGGACCCCCTGATCGCCTGGCACCCGGCCACCAAGGACCCTCTCTGCCCGGTGCCCCAGACGAGCCGTCGGTGAGCGCCGCACGCCGGGCCCCGAGGTTCCCGTGCCCGCAGCGCTTTCGGTGCTAGCCGCGAGAGGCCGGCGTCGGCTCCCGGGGTTCGGGGTCCCCGGCCGGTGCGGCCGTCGGCAGCGGCGGACGACGGGGGGCACGGGGGACCGCGGCGCCATGACGGCCGAGAGCGCGCCGCCGCCCCCGCCGCCGCAGCCCGAGGCGCTGGCGGCCGTGAAGGAGGAGCGCGGCGAGGCGGCGGCGGCGGCGGCGGGCGCGGGGGTCCCGGCGGAGGCGGCGGGCGGCCGTGGCGCGGGCGGACGGCGACGCAAGCGCCCCCTGCAGCGGGGGAAGCCGCCCTACAGCTACATCGCGCTCATCGCCATGGCCATCGCGCACGCTCCCGAGCGCCGCCTGACTCTGGGCGGCATCTACAAGTTCATCACCGAGCGCTTCCCGTTCTACCGCGACAACCCCAAGAAGTGGCAGAACAGCATCCGCCACAACCTCACGCTCAACGACTGCTTCCTCAAGATCCCGCGCGAGGCGGGCCGCCCGGGCAAGGGCAACTACTGGGCGCTCGACCCCAACGCCGAGGACATGTTCGAGAGCGGCAGCTTCCTGCGCCGCCGCAAGCGCTTCAAGCGCTCGGACCTGTCCACCTACCCCGCCTACATGCACGACGCCGCGGCCGCCGCCGCCGCCGCCGCCATCTTCCCGGGCGCCGTTCCCGCCGCCAGGCCGGCCTACCCCGGCGCCGTCTACGCGGGCTACGCGCCGCCGCTCGCCGCGCCCCCGCCCGTCTACTACCCCGCCGCGTCGCCGGGGCCCTGCCGCGTCTTCGGCCTGGTGCCCGAGCGGCCGCTCAGCCCGGATCTGGGCCCCGCGCCGTCTGCGGCCGGCGGCTCCTGCGCCTTCGCGTCGGCGGCGGGCGCGGCGGGCACCGGGAGCTTCCAGCCGGCGGTGTGCACCGGCGCGCGGCCCGTCAACCCCGCCGCCTACGCCGCCGCCTACGCGGACCCCGACGGCGCGTACCCGCAGGGGGCCGGCAGCGCGCTCTTCGCCGCCGCGGCCGCGGGACGCCTAGCGGGACCCGCGTCGCCCCCCGCGGGAGGGGGCGGCGGCGGCGGCGTGGAGGCGGCGGTGGACTTCTACGGGCGCACGTCGCCCGGCCAGTTCGGAGCGGCGCTGGGGCCCTGCTACAACCCCAGCGGGCAGCTCGGAGCCGGCGGTGGCGGCGCCTACCATGCCCGCCACGCCACCGCCTACACCGGCGCGGTGGATCGGTTCGTGTCTGCCATGTGAGCCGGAGGTAGGCACGAAGCCTCACAGACTCCATGACGCTCAGAAAGATGGTAATCCCCGGAACCGGCGGAGAGCACTAAAAAGTGTGTCGAACTGAGACTCGCGTGCAAGGCCCCTGAGGACCGGAAGGGCCCCGTGTCTTGCACACTATTCGCAGACCCGATTTGCTCTGGATGTGAGACGAGGAGGCTACAGTCGCGTTCGGACTGGGGCAAGGGACCCTCGATGATGCGAAGCTCCAAAGAGCGTGCCTTTCTGCCTTTTTACTAGGGAGGGTCCCAGGCTGTAAAGGGTGGAGAGCAGCATCGTTGTGGACACCAGAATGTAGGATCCGAACTGTGGTGGCTTCAAAGTAATGCTGTGCTACGCCGAATTCGGGTTTTCTACAGGCTGGGCCTCTTGTATGTTTGACTACCTTACTACAGTAAAAGCGGGGCTCGGACAGTGCCTTTCTTCTTAAAGAGAGAACAGATTTGCAAAAGAAGTTGCTTTAAAAATAAAATGATTCTGTTCAGCTGTGCTGGTTTTACCTGTCTCCAAGGACCACAAGCCTGATTGAGACACAGTTTCCCATCAATCTGTCTGTTGCCCAGGACGGCTGTGAGCTTTTACCCTCTCGTTTTTAACCCTCTCCCATTATCTTGGGTGCCATCGGTCCATATTTGGCAGCACTGGTGAGTCACCCAGGGCTTCCCAGTAGCCGTCCAGGGAATGGGAACAGATCCTTGGCAAGTATTTAACCCACAGTCCCGGGACTAGCTCCAAGAAGAGATTATGTCCTAATTATTGAATCTTTTGAGTAAGATGTATTGGTCATTCTGCAGCAGTCACTGCAGTCACTCTGGTTTTCTGATAAGGAGGATGGGGGGTGGCTTTACAATAATTGGGTCTGTCTGTTTTGTTTTCCATGCCCTCCACCATGCCTGCCTCAGCACCCTCCTCGAACAAAAAGGAAAGAAACCTTTTAGATCGCTGATTAACAAAGCGATCTAAAAAAAAGGAGGGTTCTTTAACTTCATCCTGTAATCCGTTTATTTGAGGCAGCAGGCTCCGGGAAATTAGAGCACAACGTTGGGGAAAATCCAACCTGTCTCCATCTTTGTCGTGATGTTTAGTTTTACAGCGGAAACATCTGATATTGAGGAAGGGCTCCACTCCCTTCAGACAACCTAGCTTGGTTTTTGTTTTTTGGTTTTTTTTTTTTAATGGACTGATTTAATAAAAATTTCTGAGCAAGTGAACACCTGCCAGAGAAACCCGGACTTTTTCTGTGTAGTTAACTTAGTAAGGGAGTGCCTGTGAAAAGATGCCATGAAAGTATTGATAATTGTGTGTGTGTGAGAGTTAATGTGTGTGAGTTTGTGTGGTGTGTGTGGTGTGTGTAAGTGTGTGTGTGAGAGAGACAGACAGAGAGGGAGAGAGAGGAAACTGTACCATCCTGTTCACAAAGATGTGTGAATTTAGTTCCTATCATTATTTATCTAAGTCATACATCCAACAGAAATACAGCACAAGCCACAAGTGTAATTAAAATTTTTCTAGTAGCTACATTAATAAAATGGAAATTAACAGGTGAAATTAGTTGTGATAGTAGATTGTATTTAACCCAGTATTTGTGACATATCATTCCCACATACTCCAGATAAAAAACCGACAAAATGTTTCCATCTTCGTTCATCTGTGCCTTCAGATGCGGGAGCTATGTCACAGCTCTGTCGCCTTTGGTCAAGGATTCGATGGCACCGTGAGCTTTCTAGCCTTTGGGGCTTTGCGGTGGTAGATGACCATCTGGAGGCAGGTGACTTTCAGCCCTGTGACTCTGGAATAGTCCGGTATAGAGGTCCCTTCCTCTCCTGGTGGGTTCTGTGTCCCGTGTCCCTGCTGCACGGCCTTGCCTACCTCTTAAAGAATGGAAGTTGACCATCAGCACCGATGCGATCTCCTCTGGGCTGAAAAGAAAGTTTTTGCCTATGTTATTTCTGGAATTGAGCCTTTGTTTTCTAATTAGCAGAATTACCAAATTGAATACTTTGGCAGTACCATTAACCTTAAACCGGCCTTTCCAGAGTCCTCGTTTATGAATTAGGATTTTGTGTTTGCTACCTCAGATGGTCCTCCTGAAGTTAAAGGGGGGGGGGGTAAACGAGATTAGAAAAAACAAAAAACTCCTTGCAACGGATCAGAAGGGGTAAAAACTGCCTTATGGTAGAAACTTGGGGTATCCTGTTGCTGTTGCCATAATGCCGGAGAAAGATGGACCGGACCGGAAGGCTGAGTCTTCGCATGGGCCTTGGCACTTGGTGAGATGCTACCCAAGGAAAGAGTCGGTGTCCACGTAAGATGCTGCTCCGAGGGAACTGGGTGTGTGGAACCGCGCCCTCGAGATTGGACTGGGGACCCTGGAAGACTGGGACCCTAGGCTGAGGACAGAGACAGCCCTTCCGCATCTGGGCCACAAAGCCCGAAGCAGCAGGGTGGTGGGATGCTGCGCGCGCATGCCAAGGACATTTCAGCGCACCGCCCTCGTAGCTCTCCTCCAAATCTGTGGACTCAGACCCTCAAGCTCCCGTTTTAGGAGTGCTCTGAGACCCAAAGGGCGTTCATTTTTCTCTCTTCCCCTCTTCCTGTTGAGAGGGAGTTTGCTGGTGAGCCGGCTTAGCACCCCAGCATCGCGCAGGCGCCTCGGGCGGTAATTAGATGCTTTCTTCCCTAATTGCCGGAGGCTCATTAGAATTCGCCCCAGAGTTGTAACATTTATTTTCTTTCAAATTAATTTTGCTTTGCAATTAAGGTGAGGAAACTAACAACAAAAGCAGACTTCGCCCTGGGTCATTTAGTACGGTTAGAGCGCTCCCTTCCTATCTTGAGCTGGGAGAGAGATAACCAGAGGTTAAGGGCGGGTGAGTTTCCTTGGCCACCTCAGCTCTCCTCGTCACCGCCATCGCAGTGATCCCAGAAGAGAAGCAAGGCTCGGCTAAGGAAGATTTCAGCCCAACTGCTCCAGGAGCACGAATCTGCAGCCTGCGACTGCAGTTTACTAAAGAGAGCCCCCAATTTTCTAAGAAATTTGTGCAAAATTGTTTTTGTTAAAATTAGTTTTCCTTATTATAAAGTCAAAATGTTTGCTCGTTGAAAAAAGGTGTAAGAGAAAGAACGAGAAGGAGCGTGGTGTCTCATACATGTAATCCTAGCAGTTCCAGGCTGAGACAGCCAGGCTACCCAGTGAGTTCCAGAGCAACATGGACTCTGTGACTCTGTCTCTGAAACAGACCAAAACACAGAGGGTCCTAAAGTTGGCCCACAGTTAAGTGGGCAGCCCCTTTTCTAGGTTTGGCTTGGTTTTGTTTCCCCAGTGTAGGAGGCCAGAGTCTTGCCTCCTTCCTTGTGCTTCTGCTTGATTTTGTGTTGCTGGTGTGTGCATGTGGGATACACATGTGCCTGCTGTGTGTCTTTACGCCGGTGTGCACTTGGGAGAACATTCGCAAGCACAGGAGGATGCGTGGATGCCGTGAACCTGGGACTCCTGGCTCAGCTAGGCTTGCCAGCCTCGGAACTCCGGGCATGTGCCTGGAAAGAACGGGATGCTGTGTGAATTTTAATCACAGTCCTGCTCACAGGGGCAGGCCTCGGTTTCAGCCATTTGTAATACGAGGTACAGGTCCCCCGTGTCCCCATACACTCTGTTCTCTAAGTCCTCTTGCCTTGCTCTTCCAATTCGGGGTGCACTTTTGTGAGGCCCAGGAGAAGCTACGGTGGAAGGAACCCTCCCGTGTTTCCACTAAAGGCCAGTGCTTCCTCGGTGCCCTTGTCACCCTCCCCACCTTACCCCCCACCCCGCGCCCTCCCCGCCCCCTACCTCCCACATCCCACCCCCCACCTCCCACCTCTGCTAGAAATGTGTGACCTCAGGCCCCAGTGAATCCCACTGGACCAGAACCTGTCTTTCAACAAACTGTCATGGGCTCATAGGTCCTAGCTGAGACAGAACTTTGAAAACAGAAGAAACTATTTTATTTAATAAGAGCAGAGACCCCCAACATAGCTTCCAGTAGCCCCATTTCTGACCAAGAACTCTAAAGCACCCCGAAACACTGCCTGGTAGCACGGTCTGCAGAGAGAGGAGAGTTCAGGTCTTAGAGTGCTCCCATTCTGTTTCCAGGTGAGCCACCGACACAGCATTCACTGGGGATGTGCTGGGAAACGGCTTTTCAAAGCAGGGTTATTTATGGGCTAGAGACTCAGTGGTTAAGAGCACTGGTCGCTCTTCCAGGGGACCTGAGTTCAGTTCCCAACACCCACACTCAAGCTCACAATAGTCCACAACTCCAGTTCTAAGGGATCCAATGCCCCTTCTGACCTCCATGGGCGCCAGACTTGCACCTGGTACACAGTCATATATTCAAGAAAATCACTCATGTGCATAAAGTATACTTTACTATGCCATACTATATTATACTATACACACATACATCTTTCTTCTTAGGGCACAACCGTTGGCATGAAGGAATTCCTGTCTCGTTCAGTGTGGGCTAAGAGTCCTCCCTAGATAGCCAGAGTTCTCTGGATGCCCTAAAGAACACACACACACCACATACTCACACACACATATGCACACACACACACGCACATACACCACATGCACACACACACATATGCACACACCACACACACTCACATACACATGCGCACACACACACTCACATATGCACACACATGCACACACACTCACATACACATGCACACACACTCACATACACATGCACACACACGCACACACACACATGCACACACACGCACATACACCACATGCACACACACATATGCACACACACCACACACTCACACACACACCACACACACTCTCACACACACACTCACACACACTCACATACACATGCGCACACACACACCACACACACTCACATACACGTGCACACACATGCACACACACACACCACACACACTCACATACACATGCACACACACACACACTCTAAGGAACTTGGGCTTCAGTGTCCATCTTCTTCCTAAGAAATGCTGCCTCCTGGGTGGGCGTTGCCAAGACAAAATGTCTGTGGAAACACTTCTTGACAAACAGCAATTTCGATGGCATTCTGTACCATGAACGACAGGTTGGGGCAATGCTGTCCCCGGGATCACATTGCAGCAAATAAAAAAGCCTGGGCTCACACAATCCATGCTCACACCTCTCAGTGCTGACACTCCTCCATGCTTATCCTTCTCCATGCTCACACGCCTCAGTGCTCACGTTCTCAGTGCTCCCACATCTCAGTGCTCACACCTCAGTGCTCACACACCTCAGTGCTCACACTTCAGTGCTCACACCTCTCAGTGCTCACACACCTCAGTGCTCACACACCTCAGTGCTCACACCTCAGTGCTCACATGCACTCATAATGATGGGGATCCACAGGAACACCATAAGCATGCCTTCTGTGGAACCCAGAGATGCATGAGGCCTCCCCACAGTTTCACTGCCATCAGTATCTGAGTGCGGGAGACTGTCTGGCCCTCATCCTGACGGAAGGCTCTGAGAGCAGAAGGGACCGGCTGTGACAGGGGGTGTGACAGAGGTGAGGGTTGTTGGTTTTCAGGGGAATTCAGCTTTCAGGGCTGCCCCCCCCTCCCGTTAAGGCCTTCAATTATGTGGGTGGATACAGTAGATGGTGGCTGGTCCAAAGACTGACTCAAAACACCAGGAGGAGAGCAGAGTGCCTCCATTCCTCAAAGCAAATGCAGCAGTGAGCAGCGTGGGAAGGAGAAGCGGGGAGTGCGGCTCAGTGAGCAGAGAGCTTGCTAAGTGTGCACGGAGCCCTGGGGTCCGTCCTCGGCGCGGTAGATACCAGGTGCAGAGGTGCAAACCGTACCCCAGCACCCAGGAGATAAAGAGAGGGGGATCAGGAGTGCCAGGTCATTCCTGGCTATGCGGTAAGTTCAAAACTAGCCTGGGATACACAAGATTGTTTCAAAAATTATATTTTTTCATTAAAAAATAAAGACTGAGATGGATAGCCGGGGATGGAGTAGTGAGAGGCAAGTCCTCAATGAGCGGGCACAGGTCTTTCCACCCCTTGTCCCCTGGCGCACTATCAGCCTCCTGTAGAGTCCAGGCTGCATGGTGCCAGCCCCACACCCTGTCCACTCTGAGAGCCAAAGCTCAGATTTCCAGCAGAACCCAGGAGGTTTCCTGGGTACAGGAGGGCAGGGTCTGAGAGGTCCA